TGCACCACCAGGAAAGTCCTGAACTAACAAAGGTTCTTTACATGACTTTCCCTATATGTTGCCTCTAAAGTCAAGGACGTCCTGGGACTTCCCTGGTGGTCCAGTAAGACTTGCGTTCCCAATGCAGGGGGCCTGGGTTCGAGCCCTGGTCGGGAGCTAGATCCCGCATGTATGCCACAACTAAGAAGTCCACATGCCACAACCAAGAAGTCTGCATGCCGCAACTAAGAGCTCATGTGCCGCAACTGAAAATCCTGCATGCCCCAGTGAAGATCCCGTGTGCTGCAACTAAGACCCAGTGCGGCCTAAATAAATAAATAAATATTTTAAAACTAAAAATAAAATAAAGTCAAGGACATACAATAATTAATTCAACAAAAACATTTCAAAGGCAAGTTAAGCTAATATGCTTTGAGTACACTGTCCTTTGGAATTTTATCTTGACATGGGGTTCAAGCTGATTAGCTATCACCTTTTTTTGTGTCCCCACTGTGTACTATACATAACTTTACTGTAACACATATCACACTAATTTTTGTGTCTGTCTTTTCCTGTAAACTCTTTGAAGGCAGGTAGAGTCATACTCATCTTTTTTTAATCCCCATTTTATGGCACAGAGTCTGATCTACAATCTATTAAAAGTTTTTTGGTGATAAAATATATCTATTTTAGCCCCAAACTCAGCATCTTAATAGAAGCATCCCAGTAAAGTCAGCAACAGAACAAGGATGCCCTCTATTACCACTACATATTATTTAACACTGTTCTGGAGACATTAGCCAATGCAATTAGACTTGAGAAGGAAACTACAGAAAGGAACACTGGAAAGTAGGAGGTAAAATTACCATTGTTTTCAGATAAGATGATTGTATACCTGGAAAATACAACAGAATCAACTGTAAAATTACCACAAACAAAAAGAGTATTCATTCAGGGCTTCCCTGGTGGCGTGGTGGTTGAGAATCCGCCTGCCAATGCAAGGGACATGGGTTCGAGCCCTGGTCCGGGAAGATCCTACATGCCGTGGAGCAACTAGGTCCGTCCATGCGCCACAACTACTGAGCCTGAGCTCTAGAGCCCGCAAGCCACAACTACTGAGCCCACATGCCACAACTACTGAAGGCTGCACGCCTAGAGCCCGTGCTCCACAATAGGAGAAGCCACGACAGTGAGAAGCCCGCGCACCACAATGAAGACCCAACACAGCCAAAAATAAATAAATAAATAAATAAATTTAAAAAGAAAGAGAGAGAAGGACAGACCAGTGGAGTATACTAGGAAATCCAGAAATGTACCCCAGTATATGCGGGAATTTAATATATGATGAACAATAAAAAGATGAGCAACTTACTATGTGGCACTGGGACAGTTTTTAGCCTTCTGGAAAAAGAAATTAAGCTGGATTTTCACCTCCTATCGCATACCAGGATAAATTACATATGGATCAAAGACTTAAGTGTGAAAATAAGGCCATAAAAGTGCTAAGAGAACATCTGGAAGATTTATAAACTCAAAGTGGGAAAGGCCTTTATAACCATGACTCAAAATACAAAAGCCATAAAAGAAAAGATTGATACATTTAATTACATAAAGATAAAACAAAATTCTGTATGGCAAAAAAAATCACAAAAAGGCAAAAGACAAATAACAACATGGCAAAAACGTCTATTAGAGAAAGGGCAATCTCCATAATATACACCAAGCTTCTAAGAAATTGGCACAGTAACCTAAGATAAAATAAGACAAAGGATAGTTCACAGAAAAAGAAATACAAATGTCCCTTATCATATGAAAGGATGTTCAACCTCAGCCATAAAAATATAAATGCAAATTAAAACTATACTCTAACACAACATTGTAAAGCAATTATACTCCAGTAAAGATGTGAAAAAATAAAAAATAAAACTACACTGATGTTTCATTTTTCCTCTCTCAAATGAGCAAAAAAATCCAAACATTTGATAATATTGATAAGACAGTGGGAAAGCAGGCACTTTCAATCTTTACTGGCAAGAATATAAATTGGTATGACCCCATGGCAGGCAATTTGGCAACAGTTCTCAAAATTATGAATGCATATATTCTCTGACCAAGCAATTTCACTTCTGGGAATTTATCCTACAGGTATACTGGTACATGATCAAAGTGACACATGTACATAGTTATTCACTGCAACACTGTTCGGAATAGCAAAAGACTAGAAAAATGTCCGTCAGTAGGGGAGGACAGTCAGATGGAAAGATGGCTATGATACATACATGACACATATGATACATGATACACATAGTTAAGTTTTTTTTAAAAAAGGGAAGGAACAGGGACTTCCCTGGTGGTCCAGTGGTAAAGAATCCGCCTTCCAATGCAGGGGATGCGGGTTCGATCCCTGGTCGGGGAACTAAAATCCCACATGCCGAGGGGCAACTAAGCCCGTGTGCTGCAACAACTGAACTTGCACACCTCAACGAGAGAGCCGGCCTGCTGCAAACTATAGAGCCCATGCACCCCGGAGCCCATGCATCACAACTAGAGAGAGAAAAATCGCATGCCACAACAAAGAGCCCACACCGCAACGAAAGATCCCGCACACCTCAACGAAGACCCCACGTGCCACAACTAAGACCCAACGCAGCCAAAAAAATAAATTTAAAAAATAATTTAAAAAATTTAAAAAGCAAGGAACAGAGTATATGTGTGTGTGTGTGTGTGTGTGTGTGTGTATACACACACAAAATACAAGGGAAAACAGCAGAAACTCTGGAAGGATTAACAAGAAACCCAGGATGATGGTTGCCAGTTGGAGGCAAGGTGGGAGACCTTGCCTGGGAGACAGAGGTAAAGCTGGAAGGGAGACTTTATATGGTATACTTTTTTAATATTTTGAGTTTTTTTTTAATTTTTTAAAATTATTTATTTATTTTTGGCTACGTTGGGTCTTTGCTGCTGCACGCAGGCTTTCTTTAGTTGCAGCAAGGGCTACTCTTCATTGCGGTGCACGGGCTTCTCATTGTGGTGGCTTCTCTTGTTTCAGAGCACAGGCTCTAGGCACGTGGACTTCAGCAGTTGTGGCACACGGGCTCAGTAGTTGTGGCACATGGGCTCAGTAGTTGTGGCTCACGGGCTCTAGAGCGCAGGCTCAGTAGTTGTGGCGCATGGGCTTAGTTGCTCTGCGGCATGTGGGAATCTTCCCAGACCAGGGCTCGAACCCGTGTCCGCTGCATTGGCAGGCAGATTCTTAACCACTGCGCCACCAGGGAAGTCCCAATATTTTGAGTTTTGAATCACATGAATATATACTCAAAAATAAAAATTTTAAAGTGTGTCAAACAAGTGGGTGAAATATTAACTATCAGTCTCATATTTAGCCAGATCTAGGTTGTAATTCAAGATTAAGATATCTTGGGAGCTCTCAGAGTAATGATATTCTGTGTCTACTTAAGTCAAGATTCATGTGCTACATGAACAAGTGACAAGATGACATTCTATTATGAAATGTTAAGAGGTTGTATTTCTTGGGAGAAAGAGAGAGAGAGAAAGAGAGAGACAGAGAGAGACAGAGAACAACCAAGCTACTGCCAGATGAACAAACAGCTACACTATTGCAATTGTCAATCTGCTTACTGGTCTGAACACAGTGATGATGACAGGAATGCGAAGGAAGGAAAAGATACAAATGTCTTGAATGGGAAGTAAATCCATGGGTCTTGCTGGCTGATTGAAAAATCTTACTACATATTTTCAGAAAGCCCCACAGTAGTCCCCAGAGCTCTTATAATTCTTATTCGATTTGCCTAACTGTACCAAAGTGTACCACGACTTGTAATTGGCTGTGGAAGATTAGAGAGACATAAAGAGAGCACAGCGATTTTAAAAACATAGGTGTTTAGTAGTATCACTAACAGAAATTAGGAAGCCAGGAGGAAGAAAGCCAGGTTAGAGAAAAAGCAATGACTTAGGTTTTAAGTACACGGTGTTTGATGTGAGTGGGAAATCAGGTAGCCGTGGCCAGAGGGCCACTGGAAATGCTAGTCTGAAGTTTAAGAGGGGAAGTCAGACTTGAAGGTGGAGATGTGGGAGATATTTGCAAATAGAGATGAAGGGGCTCAGAGGAAATCCGGGCTGAGGTGAGAACCAGGACTGTGCCGACCGTGGAGCAGAATGCGGAAGAGAAGCCAGAGTTACAGACAGAGAATTACAGGGAGAATCAGGAGAGCATGTGACATGTACACGGAGGGTGAGGAGCTTTAAGAAGCAGTGAAGGGATCAACATGGTGAGAAATGAAAGGGCCACAGCAATAATAGTAGCAATGTGCACTGTCTCCTGAATCCCGACACAAAACAACCTACCAGGTAGATGGTATTGCTAGCCCCATTTTACAGAAAAGGGTATTAACCCGGGGAATCCCCTGGCGGTCCAATGGTTAGGACTCCCTAGGACTCTGTGCTCTCACTGCTGACAGCCAAGGTTCAATCCCTGTCTGGGGAACTAAAATCCCATAAGCCACAGCAAGGCCAAAAAAAAAAGTGGGGGGTGGGCAGATATTAACCCAGACAGTGACTCCAAAGCTGCAGGATGTAACTGATGAGCTATACTCCTTGAACACTGTCTCGGGGAGAGCTGGGAGATCAGAGTTCTGACACTAGTTCTAACACTAAATTAGCTATATGTCCATGGACAAGTAACTTGCCCTTTCTAAGTTTCATTTCCTTCTCTGCAAATTGAGGGTATTGGTCTAGATAAACTCCAGCTCTTATGTAAATTTGAGTCTTTGATTAAAGCAGAATGGAAGAAATACATACACAAGATAGGCAATGAATTAAAAACTTAGCCATAAGTGAACAGGGAGACCTGGGCAAGAAAATCAGAATGTTGAATGTTTTATACAGTGACTTTTCAAGCAATAAACCCATACTCCGATACATAAAATCTATAATTGCAAAACTCTACTTTTTATCTATATATTTAAGTCGGGTATAACATCAAGAATTAAAATTTTTCATACCTGGAAATTTATAAACGCTGCTCTTGAAACCCTGCTAAGTTGATTGAATGGAGTAAAAAAAGGGAAGATTCCAAGTCTGTGTATGAAGGATAGTCCTGTAGAGACAGAAAAGAGCTATTTACAATGAACTTTTGTAATAAGAGACAGAAACATCTGCTAAGGTACATAATAAATATTTATTCAAATAAATTATATGGGAGCATTTATCAGGTATCATTTTTTAGCATATAAAAATAGATCATCTGGCACAGAATATTAGCTGACGGGAATCTTATCCACCTATCTATCTACCTATTTATAACCCAAACCTTAAAATTAAAATCTGCAAGAAAAGATTTCCAAATTTAAAATATATTATGGCAAACTGAAAGCAAACATACTTTTTAACTTTGAGAATAAGATAAACTTCTTAAAACAACAGCTACTCAAATGCAGGCCACTAGATGAAATACCAAGACAGCAACATATGTTCTATCACTCTTTTCCTGCAAGTGGCATCAATATGATTTGCAAGAAAACCAAACAGAATAGCTTTAAAGATTCAACTTGAAAAGTTAAACATTTCTTTAAAACTCTATGGTTAAGAGGGAAGTGGGGGAAAAAAGTCCTACTACATATGTTCAGAAAGCCGCACTGCAGTCACCCAGATCTATCATTCAATTTGCCAGATTGTACTACAGTGTACCACAATTTGCGAGAGGAGCTGCAACAACATGTATTAAAAATGTTTCAGTTTCTACTATATTCCAAACCTTTTTCATTACCAAAAAAAAAAAAAATCTGTTCAACTATTTTGTTCATTGACCATGAAGTTTTGTTAATGTAGTGACTGTTAAAGCTTTATGTCCATAGGCAGTGGAAAAATGAATTTAATGCTTTTTAAATCAATGAATTAAGCTAAGAATTCCCACCAAAATAATTTTGACTAAATTAATGAAATCACTTTTTAAAATAATTTTTTTCTGATTATAAAAGTATTATATACTTACAGAAAATTTTAAAAATACATGGAGGTATGTATACAGAAGAAAACAAAATGAAATAACTTTTAAATGAGCATCCTGAAAACACCACCAGAGAAAAGAGAACTGCTCAAATATACTTTAGTTAGTAAAACAAATGCATCAGCTATCCACTCATGAGGAGGTCTAAATTCTGGCAACTTAAACCATTCAAAACACTGCTATTTAAAACACTGACCTAGAAGTTTACAAAAAAATTTTTTTGAACAGCAACCAAAAGAGAAAATAGCCAAGATGATCTGAGTATTCCATAAAGTGTCATGTGATTTCCTCTTATGATTGGCAGAGTTAATTTAAGAAGAAACAAGTCCCACAGTCTTTATAGGTGGCAAGAATGGGAGATTTAAAAAAAAATTTTTCTTTTAATCTTTTTTTTTTTTTAGATGTTGGGGGTAGGAGTTTATTAATTAATTTTTGCTGTGTTGGGTCTTCGTTTCTATGTGAGGGCTTTCTCTAGTTGTGGCAAGCGGGGGCCACTCTTCATCGCGGTGCGCGGGCCTCTCACTATCGCGGCCTCTCTTGCTGCGGAGCACAGGCTCCAGACGCGCAGGCTCAGTAGTCGTGGCTCATGGGCCTAGTTGCTCCGTGGCATGTGGGATCCTCCCAGACCAGGGCTCGAACCCGTGTCCCCTGAATTAGCAGGCAGATTCTCAACCACTGCGCCACCAGGGAAGCCCCTAAATTTTGTTTTTTAAACAAAGGGACAAAAAACAAACTAAGAGCAAAAGGTGATGGAGTTGGGAAGCAGCAAACTTCTTACAGTGGTTTATCAACACTTTTTATGTATTTACATTTCAAGTACAGCAAAGAATAGAATTGGCTATGAAAAGGATTTTAAGAAATACCCATAATTAAAACAACAGGATCTAATTTAGGGGTAAACTAGGATTCTGTACTTGGAGGAACAAAACAAATAACTTTTTTTTTTACATCTTTATTGGAGTATAATTGCTTTACAATGGTGTGCTAGCTTCTGCTTTATAAAAAACAAATAACTTTTGAGAACTCCTCCCGACCCTAAAAGCTCATCTACCCGAGGAGGGCACTTAGTAAAGGGTATTCACTTTGATAGCTTTAATGTCACTATTTCAACAATGCTACTTAAGAGCACTAACTAGCACTGTCCAGTGTACTGGGTCTGTACAGTGGCAAAAGCAAAATTAATTCTGAGGCTTTTTAAGAGAACTGACTTCTGAACATAGTCTGTACCCAAAACAGTTTATACATACTTGATGAAATGTCAGTTTTAGTGATAACCAAGTTCTACCCTGGCAAAAATTAGTTAAGAGTAGATTTGTGTATTAACCCCCAGCATCCTTTCTAACTTCCTTGTGGAAAATTAAAAAGACCATTTCCCAGACTCCTTTACAGTTACGTTTCCCGATGTGAAATGGGGCCCATCTATCAGATGTTCTTCTGTGAGATTTGGAAGGCAGAAATGAGGTGGGAACCATCTTTCTGCTGTTCTGGCTGTTAATGTTGGCAAGCACATTTATGGAAACATTGGGTTTTTCTGCAGCATTCCAGTGTCCAGAGCCTCATGGCTGTCGAGAGACAAGTTTGGTGGAGACAGCCGTGACTAGCTGGTGGGTGTTAAGGGGCAGTTTCAGAATAGCAATTTCTTGACCCTTGAATTGCAGTAAGCAATGTCATCTGGAACTCAGAAGTGCCAGTGGTGGCCTCCCGATTCCCTCCCTTGGAGGCCCTGTTTGGCAGTCTGGTCCTGGGAATAATTTCTGAAGGCCCAGCACAGAGCCCACTCCTCTCAGCCCTTCCAATGATTCTGCAAACGAATTAAAATGCTAGAGCAGTTGCTCTTTCCTGCAACTAGGCCCAGATGACATATTGGCACATCAGTTGCCTCAAAATGTAAGCAGAAGGGTGATTAGTCTGTGGGCAGCAGTACTGGGCAGTGTGCTTGCCGGCACAGGCTCTGGAATCAGACTGCCTAGGTGCAAATTCTGGCTCTGCCACACATTAACCTCCCTGGGAAGTTAACCTCCCTGTGCCTTAGTTTCTTCATCTGTAAAATGGGACTAGTAATAATACCTATACCTTCTAGAGTTATGCGACACAGTAAATGAAAAGATAATCTAAGTAAAGTGCTTACAACAGTGGCTGTCTTATAACAAGCCCCTGAGAGATGTTAGCTATTATTAGAGTAATAATAGTAATCACTATTATTAATTATGCAGGCCACTTTAAAATACTACTTTAACTGAGTAAGAAATGTAAACATTTTAGAATTTTATTACCACACATTTTCTTGCAGCCTAAAGAATGCTTACTTATACAAAAGTGGACACAGAAAAAATTTGACTGGTTCCCATATTTGTATACTCAGAGAGAGCGATCATTTCAAAACCACAGTGTACCTGAGGATAGCAAACCCCTACTCTAACTAGTCAATTAATTAGTTATTGGAGACCTCACCCTAAGGAAGAGTTATTCTTTTTTTTCAACTAAGGTAGAGTTGATTTACAATGTTGTGTTAGTTTCTGCCGTACAGCAAAGTGATTCAGTTATACATACACATATATTCATTCATTTTTAGATTCTTTTTTCATATAGGTTATCACAGAATATTGAGTAGAGTTCGTTCCCTGGGCTATACACTAGGTCCTTGTTGGTTATCTATCTTATACATAGTAGTGTGTGTGTGTTTATCCCAAGCTTCTGATTCATCCCTCCCACCCTCCACATTGCCCCTTTGGTAACCGTAAGTTTGTTTTGGATATCTTTAAGTCTGTTTCTGTTTTGTAAATAAATTCATTTGTTTCTTTTTAAAAAAAATTAGATTCCACATATGAGTGATATCATATGATATTTGTCTTTCTCTGTCTGTCTGACTTACTTCACTTACTAGGATAATCTCTATGTCCATCCATGTAGCTGCAAATGGCATTATTTCATTCTTTTTTACAGCTGAGTAATATTCCATTGTATATATGTACCACATCTTCTCTATCCATTCCTCTGTCGATGGACATTTAGGTTGCTTCCATGTCTTGGATACTGTAATTAGTGCTGCAATGTACATTGGGGTGCATGTATCCTTTCGGATCATGTTTTTCTCTGGGAGTGGGACTGCTGGATCATATGGTAGTTCTATTTTTAGTTTTTTAAGGAACCTCCATACTGTTCTTCATAGTAGTTGTACCAATTTACAGTCTCACCAACAGTGTGGAAGAGTTATTCTTTAGAAACAATTGTTGTCATTTTCCCATTTCAAATGTTACCTCATTAATTATGCTCTATGAACCAGGGTGTTTGTTACTTAGGTTTTTTTTCAGCTTCATTTAGATATAACTGACAAATAAAATTCTAAGATATTTAAAGTGTACATTGTGGTATACATATATATTGTGAAAGGATTCCTCCCATCTAGTTAATGAATACATCCACCACCTTAGATATTTATCTTTTGTTGTTGTTGTTGTTTGGTGAGAACATTTAAGTCCTACTCCCTCAGCAAATTTCAATTATACAATACAGTGTTATCAACTATAGTCACCATGTTATACATTAGATTCTCAGACCTTGTTCATCTTATAGCTGAAAGTTTGTGCCTTTTTACCAACCTCACCCTACTCCCCCTACCCTCCAGTCCCTGACAACTACTTTCCTACTCTCTGCTTCTATGAATTGGACTTTCATTTTTCAGATTTCACATATAAGTGATAACACGCAGTACCTGTGTTTCTCTGTCTGGCTTAATTCACTTAGCATAATAAACCCTCCAGGTCCATCCATGTTGTCACAAATGACAGGATTTCTTTTTTCTCATGGCTGAATATTATTCCAGTATATATACAATCATATTATATATATATAATAATAATATATATATATCACATCTTATTCATCCATTCATCCATTAACAGACAATTAGGTTGTTGTGTTATTCACAACTTAGGTTGTTTTTAAAATGTTATCACAGAGGAGGTTTCATAAGAATGAGATGTGTATAAGATGTGCAATCTCAAAGTTTAAAATTTAATGTTTAGGCTTAGAATACTATTCTAATTTACATATTAAGAAGGTCTTAGATAAAATGATGGCCTGGTTTGGTT